ATAGACATAATCTGCTCAGCTTCTCAGGTTTTAAAAGAAAATTTAACAAATATTTGAAAAATAAAAATATAAAAGGTGTCGGGGGAAAGGGACAACATGAAAATTGTTCAAATAGCTTATAGCTACTAATTATCATTCACAAGCAGGTCAGCCTGATCATATATAATTGCTGGGTGTGAAATTTGAACAGTCAGCATATTCCCTATACATTTTATGAGCAGCAACATGAATAACATCAGGAAGGCAGATCACTATTATATTAAGTGAAGCACACCAAGCTCTTTCAGGCTGTTCCAAGCACAGCAAAAATAACACAAATAGCCTTTATCTTCTCAACCTACTTTCATGAAAATAATGAGAATACTGATTACAACCACAAAATTATATTTGTATAGCGTCATTCACGTCGGGAGGACATCCCTAGACAGTCAGTGTTTCGGACCTTGAGGTTGGCTTCGGGGGTCGGGATCGGGGAGGGGGGAGGGCAGGGGGGGGGAAGGAGGGTGATCGAAGGCACAGTCGAAGAGGAGAATCTTGAGATGGGTCTTGAAGGAAGCAAGGGAGGGGGCGAGGCAGAGGGACTGCGGGATGGAATTCAAGATGGTGGGGGCAGAGTGGCTGAAGGCTTCATATAAGCATTATATATAATTACATAAGTAAATTAATTTGTTAAACTATCAAAGGGAGAAGGATTTATTTCAATACCATTTCTATAATAACATTAACAAAAAGATAACACTATAAATTCTCTATGGAGTCAGAGTCTAAATTCTCACAATTACAGGCCCTAAGCCTTACTTCCTATGGGAGTAATCTAAATCTGTTCCAGTGAAATCATTATGTAATGAGTCCCAATTTAAGAAAGGCTGACTAGCTTAGAGGAGATCATTTCCACTCTATTAACCGAGTTGATTGACCACTGAGCGCTAGAGAATATTAGTTTTTGCAAGTATTTGCAATTAGTGAAATGTGCTCAGTTCCTTTAAACAGCCAGTGGGAAAATTGTGATTATACGTTTTGAAACTTTTATTAATCAAATGTCTTACTAGCGAGCTGAAACTTGATTCCAGCCCCCGCATTACTGTCACTCAGTGATGCTCTTTAGTTGATGATGAGTGCTCGGTCCTATTTCTCTCGTGGAGTCCTGTAGCTCAGTATATTTTGTGAAATGTTTTGAGACATCTATATCAAATGCAAGAATTATTCTTATGAACCCATCCTATGCTCCAGATTTGGGAGAGCTCAGCGCTGTGTGAAAACTCTGCACCATTGACGTTCCTCGTGTTCATGGCCATGAACACACGCAGACAAACCGATAAAAGCGGAGAAACAAAATTTGAAGAAATGTATTTCTTTTTTTATTTCACTCATGAACCAGACCAGTTACAGTTGAGTATGAAAATTAATCTCAAAATCCTGTGTCTTTATTTAATAATAACAATAAGCCTGGCATTTGGTGCAGTGCTTTTCACGTCTTCTAGACGTCTCAATTTACAGGTTTATAAGAGGGTATATTAAAAGAGATAATAACCCTTGCTGTAGTGATTCTATGAGAACCAAACATTTGCTTGTTGAACAACTTCACAAAAATTTTTTTACTAAATAAATTTCCTTCATAAAGAGATCACAAGAGAGGTTCATAATGAAGAAAGCCCTTCAGTCCATTTGATCGCATCAATCCAGAATACCCCACCCTTTTCGGCATCAGCCTGGCACTATGGGATCACTCTCGCCTCTGAGTCAAAAGGTTGTGGATTCAAGCCCCACATTGGGATTTGGAATCACATAGTCCAGGATGACACTCCAATGCGGCACTGTGGGGGTGTGGCATTGTCAGAGGTGTCATTCTTCGGATGAGACTTTAAGCCGGGGTGAATTTACATTGCAACTGCTCAAAATGCTATTTTGGGCAAAAAAAACACAGATCTGGAAAAATGTAAATGAAATGTATGTTAAGCCTTGGCGACAGATGCAGCCCATGTCCTTCATCTTCCTCCATAGTCACAGTAATTACTGGTAATGCATTCAGTGTGAGGGATTGGTTGAGAGTGTGAAGTAATGCATTTCATGTACTCGTAACTTCAGTTACAGTATAAACCTCTTTCAGGTTATGTGTAGTTATTGCCACCACACAAGCTGATTTTTTTTTAGAATTCCATCAGTCAACCCACGCCAAACACAAACTTGGAAGAGCAGCTTCTCTCATAAGGCAGTGGATTCCTGTTCAGAAGATTTGTTTTGGAATCCCAACCGAAACTCTACAAGACACAATGGGGCATATTTTGTTAGTTTTTCAGATCAGCCTTGGCCTTACGGAAATGGAGTGCTTTTATACAGAAAAAACATCAGCAGACACCGAACACAGCTCTCACTGCCAATATAACAGCATTGGTGGAGTTCATATAGAAATCCACAACTTGGATCATTTCACCCTGCTTTTAACACACCTCATTTTACAGTAAATCCTGTGAAGCATTTTGAGATGATTGACAGCATGGTAAGGCACTATATCAAATCGCAAGGATTATTATTATGTTAAAAATTCCACCCACACCCGACGTATATAGTCCTTTCTAATTCACAATGCTAATTAAAAGAATTTGTTTCAAATGGATGGGATCAATAATTTCACCACCCACAAAATCAGATGTCTCATCCAAGCTGCAATTCACAACCTTAAAGGTCAACATAATACTTCAACAGTGGAGGACGTCAGTCCAAATCATTAGGTAATTCATTTTATGACAAACTACTTCACTTGGTAGATAACCACCTACAGAATACAGTATCTCATAAGTAATGTAACGCCATGGGCTTGAGACAACCAGAAAACACTCTCACTAGCAATGTTCTAATCTTTCACACTCAGAAATGTATCATTTTGTCCACAAAATATAGTCCATTCACTTTACAGCATATTCTGTAAAGCACTTCGAGAGGTCTCGAAGACACGATAAGACACTATATCAAATGCAAGGATTATTATTATTATCTCTGAGAATTCATATTGTCCACAAGTCTGAAGTCTACAATTGAGGATTTTAATGGGATCTGGAAGAATGTCACAGCTACCTGCGGAACTCTGCTCTGACACTGTCAAATTCTGAATACATTTTGTGAGCCAGTAAAGAACATCCCTTTAAATCCTTTTGTTTAAGTCCCCATAATGACAGTTAGCTATAAGAAATCACAGTAGACTGAACTTGTAATACTACACTTTGCCAGCGTATAGGCAATGATAAGACTAACAATCCAATGAACTGCAGTAAAGAAATGTATTTCTCAAAACGTGTCAAGACATGTGCAGTTTCCTTTCCTTGAACTGAATTGGGAACTTACAACATAATAAAATGGAAATGTAGACTGGCAGTCTATAATATGTTAAAATGACATTCAAGAAGCAAATTTGATTAAATCTCTGATGCATTCCTTGCTGCTCATACTTTAATATTATCTACTTTAGTAGATAGCGCAAAACCACAAACAAATTTGATATTGAAATCCACATTGAAATATATTTCAAAAGTCATATTACATTGATATCATATTGAAATTAGATCAGGGAAACGCACTTAGCTTGCCCAATAAAAATGAAAATATATACTCAGGACCTTACAAATCTCCATGCCACAGCACATTAAAACACTATAGGGTGGTATGTTCTCCCACACAAGCTCTCATTTTACCTATGCTGCCTCAAGCTCATGCAGAGGGAAAAGCATGTGTACCATCTAGTGGTTATTCCAACATTGACATAGAACTGTGGGAGAAGTTAAGCTGCTCAATGTAAGGGGTATGGAGAGCTCTAATGAGCAGTTTGTCTCTGCAACTTGGGATCTTTTCCTCGTTAAAAGTTACATTTCAGGTAGTTCATTAAATAGGAATTCAACCTTTCACCACTGAGCACGTTAGACGATATTAGGATGCCTACACCAACATTTACAATACTTAACAGTAATGACCCATGAAGGGCTTGCACCAGAGCATGGAATCAGGGCTGGGATAGCAAAACAGGGTGGGGGTTGGGAGTATGACTGAAGGCACGAGCAGAGGAAGGTCTTGAGACAGGCCTTGGAAGGAGGCAGGGGAGGTGGTGAGGCAAATGGATTAGGGTGGAGCTCCAGAGGGTGAAGGCAGAAAGGCCGCAGGCCCAACTACTGATGTTGATTGAGGCAGCAGGGAACACTGAGCAAGTCAGTGACCACTGAGCGGAGGGAGCGAGCAGGTTGGTAAGATCCAGCAGGTCGCAGAACGAGGGAAGAACAGTGAAGGGCTTTGAGAGGACGAGGATCTTGCTGATTTCAAGACCAATAGCACCATCCTGTGCCAATTAGATGCAAGTGCACACTTAAAATAATTCAATGGGTAATCACCGATCTCTTGGCTGCAGCAGCCCTATTTACTTCATCTCGTTAGACACACTTCAGTAAAATGAACTTCCCACGGAAATTGTAATTGTAATACAGAATATTCAGGTTCCCTGCTCCTGTTGGCGAACCAAGCATAAACTACTTCCATGAGCAAAGAGGTAAGAGCACCCGCTCCTGTCACTAATTCGGTGGGTTGGCAAGTTATTGGCGTTTTCCCCTTTAAATTAATAGTTGTTGAACGAGGACACAAACGGGAAGGTAATCCTTAAAAAAACCCTTAACTGTCATTTCAGATGGTATTGAAGATATTACTTTTAGAAATTCGCAGGGGTTTTCTAATCCGTCTTTAACCAGTTTCAAAGCTAAACAAGGGATATCCGAGAGAGCCTTCCGTTACTAACATTGAAGATTTATGGAAGGTCTATCATTTTGAAGCAAAACCATACATCAATACTCTTGCATTACAGAGGCAGCCATCTTGCATCTCACAGAAGCAAATGCTTGAAAGGTGTGAGTTTGATTAACTTTTAAGTGTCAGTTTCAAATATAAAAACATTAAAGGCATCAGTCAGGCGGATAATGCGAAAGGAGAAATGGCCTGAACTAATGGTGAAACAAGACAATCAATGAAACATTTTACCAGGTGCTTTATTGAAAAAGTTCCAGATATAATTTTAGACTTTTATTTCTTCTTCTCGACATCTTGTTCAGCTGCTTCCTTGGCTCTCTTTGCACGTATACCAAACAGACGAGCGTTTGCCCGGGCCATACGAAGGGAGACAAAGGCCATGAACTTCTTTTCATCCTCAGAGATTACCCGGGCTTTTTCTTTCTCGAACACCTGGAAGAAGAAAAAATAATGGTTCGTATAAAATACTACAAGGTTGTCTACTCATTTACAAGCAACACATTTCCTTGTGCTTTGACCCCAATTGAGAGACTTCTACAAATGGACGGCTAGCCTCATCGTTTTTATTTAACACGTGACCGACCCACCTGTGACCAAAACTGGATTATAGACAAAGTTAAACTTGTGAAAACAATATTTACTAGCCATCAACATTTAATATGCCCACCCTTTGCAGACAGATGGTCCAAGTGTACAGTCATGGAATGTATACATTAATAATATTATTGTTATGTATACATTACAGCATGAACAACCAGGAGAGAAATGCCCTAATTAGTGTACAGCACTCAAACCCCCAAACTTCTATTAATATCATCTAAAAACTACAGAAGACTCAATCACATTTTAACACAAATGACAAGATTTTTTACTCCATTCATTATTGCAGTTTCCCTCACCCAGAGTTTGCAGTTAGTTCAAGCTCCCTTCACTTTAGTCACGTGCATTGACAGGCTGGAACTAACTATGCTTCAAACTTCTGTCAATCTGAGTCAGGTAACTGTTCCCACCAGGAAAACAATCTCCCAAAACTGTTTAGACACAAGTCGCAAGAAACAATCCTCACTGGACAGTTTGACTGTAATTGATCATAAGAATGTGTTTCCCCTAGGACAGCTACTGCAACTTTAAGGGATTTATCTTTTTTTTACAATGAACCTATTGCTTATTTTAGTGAAGCTGAGTGTTCGAGAATTAAGCCATTCTAAAATTGTAACTCACGTTCTTGATGGGCATGACTGGTCCACTCAGCTGAGTCGCCAGCTTCATTTCTTCAGGCTGTAAAAAGAAAATAGTATCGTCATTGAAAAGTCCTTCACAGAAACAAAGTTAGATAAAATTGCATTTTCACAGTCATTGGGTGGACAAGTTCTAGCAATAGTCATCAAAGATGTACACAGATTCCAGAGAAACTGTCACCTGACTGTGGAGAAAGGCAGAGTATCCCTCCCTGAATTAGTTTGTTATTCAATTGTTATGGCAAAATACAATATTTAAAGAGCATAGAATTTCCTTAAGAACTTCAGGCAGAAAATCCCTTTAGCAAACTCTCAGGTACACTGTTGCTCAAAGGTTAACCCATGTTACATATGATCTAAACTTTAGGAATTAACATTAATGTGTCTTGCTCTAGTGCACATTTTACTACTTTATGCCAGGATATTACACTTATGATTTTTAATGTGATAGCTCCAGCTCCAGCTAATATATTTGAAAATGGGAATAGAATCAATAATCATTTAATTTGTCCTCGCATTATTACTTAGCATATACCAATTTAGCCCAATGTATGGACTGAAGTATAATCTAGAAAACTGACACTTACTTTGATTTCACAAACATTAAGAGTCACTTTCATTTAACCTGATACTCCCAATGGCTTAGCTAATAAAACAACCCAAATTGCAACAGCCAAACAGACTCAGAAGATCCCAAGTTCAATCCCAAATCAGTGCTGTTAGTTAAGACAATAGCAGCAGTAAAACACACCTCAGTATCCCAGACTAAAAATGAAAACAATCCAGCAATGTGGATTCATTTTGAGTCCCTTAATTATGGTAATGGGTTTCTGCATGTGCTAGACACACAGGTAACCAAATAATAAAACAAAAAAGTAGTGTGTCTATACCAAGACTATCAAGCCAAACAATTGTGCCAACACTTACAGAAGCATCACCCTTCTTAGGTGCAGACGCCTTCTTCGGGAAGATGATGAGTTTGGAGCGATACTCCTTCAGCCGTTGAGCATTACACTGAATAGATTTTGTTGACCTGTTGCGTCGTCTATGGTCAACAGCAATGCCAATAGTGCGTGCCACTTTCCTGTTTATGCCCGCTGCCTAGCAACAGACAAATATATATTTTTAGGAGATGAAGACAGGAACCTACTCAAAATATAGCAGATAAACTACAGTCATCAGATGGAAAAGGGTTCGACAATAATCATCATTGATTTACAGAGATTCCGGAGAAATTTCATCATGTGACTGGTGAACACTTAGGCAGGAATAAGCTAGGAAAAACAAATTTATAGGTTTCAATACACATACCAATGAATAAACAAAGCAGATTGTAACACAAAGTTTACTGTAGTATTTCCATTATACAAATCCCTTTAAACTTGGAACTGGACAAAATCCCTATATTAGGCTTTAGATGAATATACACCAATTACTGAAACGTTATTCTATTCAACTATTTACCAGCATGCTGTAATATTACCTTGAGCTCCTCCAGGCTGAAGCCTCGGCCAGCACGTACTTTAGTGTGATACCTAATGGTAGGACACCTAACAATTGGTCGGAGGGGACCTGCAACTGGGCGTGGAGCAATTCGGCGGGATTTAGCTTGTCGTGCCTTACGTCTGCCAACAGATCAAAAATGAGCACATCAATTTAGAACCGAAAAGTATAACTGTATTTCTACACCACAAGCACAGGAATCAAAAACTTAACTGTTATTACAGAAACTGTACTGCAATATTCATTAACCAATACAATACTTCCTATAGTTAAAAAAAAGTGGACAGAACCTACTTGGAAGCCCATTATAACTTTTTCCCCCGAACCCCCTCTAGCCAACAGAATTAGCTCACATATAGGGCTTGTGTTCTACAGACCAGGATACCCAGCTTCTTGTGCTAAAACATGACTGACTTCCAGGTCACCGTTGTTGTCATTTCCTGCACATTGCCCACATGCAGCAACATCAGTGGCAATCTGATGTAGAAGTCAGCCAATTTTTCACACATCAGGTACTTGAACTCAAGAGGACCATGTGAAGACAAGGTTCTACTGCAGAATCCCCAATAACTGGACTGCTGTGAAATTGGAGAGGTGGTATGTAATTCTCTTAAAATTTATGTTTTAATAAAAAACAGCTTTTAACTAATCCACAGCCATCAGCAAAAAGGGGTTCAATGGTTATCATCAATGGTTTACAGAGATTCCGGAGAAATTGTCATCATCTGACTGTGGAAAACCAACTTTGGCGGTAATGCTGTATATATTAAATGTCTCCAATCAATGACCCTCACAGTTACCATCAAATTTGAAGCTATAAATCCACTTGACAGCCCAGAAGCAGACAGGCGACTCACTTATTGGCATTCCATCCTAAATTAACTTAGATCGTTGCAAACATATTGTTTTTGTATTTGTGAAGTTCAAAAGAGCAGTGGAGTTTTAATATTCGACAATGGATTATTTACCTGCGGATTTTTCTGGCTGGCTGATTAAACCAAGTGCGGACTCTCTTCTGCCAGTCCTTGTGGAAATGAGGGTTCAGAATCATCCCATTCCGACTTGGTGCCATGGCTGCTTACGTCTGTGCTGAAGCAACACTGGAAAAGGAAAATTAAAATGTAGAAAATATTTAAAAGCTATATAAAAACTACCATTATTCTTAACATAATAATCCTTGCATTTGATATTGCGCTTTATCACATCTTTGAGACGTCTCAAAGCACTTCCCAGAATATACTGTAAAGTGAATTGACTGTATATTTTGTGGGCGAAAACTGGCAGCCAAATGCACACAGCAGTCTCCCACAACAGTCATGGATTGAGTGCTCACATTTTTTTTGACAGTCCCGCAATTACAAGTTCATACAGTTTTATAAATAGATACAAAATCCATACTTTAAACCAACGCTTTAAAGCAATCACCAATTTAATGGTTTACCGGGTATATAACAAGTCCACAGCCATCAGCAAAACTCACTGGATATCATCAATGTTATACAGAGATCCCGGAGAAATTGTCATCATCTGACTGTGGAAAACCAACTTTTGTGCTAATAATAATAATCCTTGCATTTGATAAAGAACCTTATCACATCTTCTAGACATCTCAAATCGCTTCACAGAATATACCGTAAAGTGAATTGACTGTATATTTTGTGGAGGAAATGTGGCAGCCAATGGCGCACAGCAGCCTCCCACAAACAGTTGTAGATTAAGGGACCAAATTATTATTATGAATCAATTATTACCCTCGAAAACGCGATCCACCAATCGACTAACAACCAGGTTCCTACTTACTGCTAGGTAAAGAGGCATGTGGAATAAGGGAACTTGCCCAACGTTTCGCCCTGCCAGGAACTGAACCCAGGTTTCTCGCTTGCAAAGTGAGTCATAGAAGACCACTCTCAGTTAAGTCAGATGCCAAATTACCAACTAGTGACCAACTGTTTGTGGGACACCGCTGGGCACAATTGTGTTGCGTTACTTGGCAACAAACACAGTCCCTCCCAATCCACAGTAATGCCTGTGAAGCTCTTTTGAGACATCCTTCTGACAAGGCCTTTACCAAATAAAAGTATTATTATACAATACAAAATTACATTTGTGTGGCGCCTTTCACGTCGAGACAGCATTCCAAGGCGCTGGACGGTCAGGGATTTGGACCCAAGCTGGGGGTCGGAATCGGGGAGGGCGGTCGATTGAAGAGGCGGGTTTTGAGACCCCCAAAATCATTATCACTATTATTTCTGCACGGTCATGAGCTTCGCCGTGTGTCAAACCCCCGAACAATGACGTGTGCACTCCCCCACTGTATTGGGCAGTGACTGAAAAAGCAAATCAAAGGTAAAATGTCTATAGGTACGATAGATACTATACATACTCGGTCAAGGCAATATTCTAAACACTAACGGGGGGGGAGAGAGAGGGGGGGACAGCATTTCCCCAAACGCTTTCACTCATATTAAAATCAGAAAACCAATCTGAACCCTCAATCCTGTAACTACCGAATAAAGCTCAGCAAAAAAAAGCGGGGAATCAGGAGTGGGGGCAGTGAATTGCAGTGTCTCTCTCTCTCTCCTGGAGCGGGTTTCCAACCCGAGGCGGTGTGTGTACAGTGTGTGTGTGTGTGTGAGGGATCTCTTCCTTCCTCCCTCCCTCCCTCTCTCCTCGTTCAGTTGCCGCGTCTGCGTTCACGTGAAAAAAGGGGACGACGTCGCCGCCGCCACAGCAACGCATCACTTCGGACCTGAGCGAAATCGAGCGCCTCACAAGACAAACACCCGCGCGCTTTAGGCCCCAACACTGAGGCAGATCCCCCACCCCCGGCCCCCCTCAGCCGGGCGCCTAACTCCGAAAATGGTGCCAAATCTCGAGAGCCCGATCCCTTCCCGGTTCGCCGGGCGTCGTTTCGGGGCAGTTTCCAGCAGCCAAAGAAGCCGATGGACGGCGATCCCTTTCGGGCTCCGCGGCCCTGACACGTACCGTGCGAAAGCAGGAAAATGGCCGCAAGGAAAGAGGGAGCCCGCGCGAGGCCCGCTGGGATATGCCCGGCGTCCGGCAGCTTAGCCAATCGGAGGCAGCGCCCCCGGCCGGGTAGCCAATCGGAGCAGCGCGTGGGGATGGGTGGGTGGGTGTCTGCCCCTCACAAACATGGCGGCGGTGACATCACTTCCCTTCTTCCTCTTCCGCCCTCTGCCCCGCATAGAAATGGCGGCCTCAGCCCTTGGCCGGTGAGCAACTCGGCGTCTGATTTTAAAAGCAATCACCTCTCCCTCTCACGTTACTCCGCTTAAGCCGTCAGAACCATAGAATTATACAGCACCGAAGGAGGCCATTCGGCCCATCGTGTCCGTGCGGCTCTGCGAGAGCTTTTCCAAATCAATCCCACTCCCTCTCCCCCTGTAGCTCTGCACGCGTTGCCCTCCGCCCCTCACCGCGGCACATGGACCAGAGGACACTGTGGGTAATCAGATGATTATTCAGGGAGGACGGGTTTGCAGGGCTGTGGGGAGAGCGCCGCGGGTGGGGTGGGGTGGGNAAGTGGGATTGATTCGGCACAGACACGATGGGCGGAATGGCCTCCTTCGGCGCCGTACAACTGTACGATTCTGTTTCTCGAGGCTCAGTAGAAATTTGCATTTGTATAGCGCCCTTCGCGCGGGGTAGCGTTCAGGAGGCTCGTTTCCTTTGCCTATTTTCCTCCTTTATACGCCGCGTGAAGACCTTCGCTCCGTTTGCTCGTTACCCCTAAATCTTTGCCTGGTCTCTCCGGGTCGACTTGCATCTCTTTATCCATCGTTTCCCTCAGTCGCTCTCACTTCACTCTCTCCCTCTTCTATCCTTGCAACTACTGTCCTCCGGTTTTTTCCTGCCGGTCATTCTTTCTCTTTCTTTCTGCAGCAATATCAATCCACCCCGTTGTGTGTGCTTTTATTCTCAGAAGGCAGTTGCTAAATGGGCCAGAAGTTTCAACTCTAAACTACACACAAGCAACAACGTGAGCCACTCTTCTCAGTGACTGACACTAACTCCAACAATTACATTTAAATTTTAAAATAATTTTGCGCAGTTTAGGTATTTGAGTTGCACACTACTTTAATGTAGTGGCTGGTGCTGGAATAATGCTGTTACACAATTGATCAACTTTTACCTCTAAACCATTTCCAGTCTAACATGTGTAGTGTAAAAATATTTTAATGGACCACATTTCGTCGCTTGGTCTATTGGTTGTACATTTGAAAGATACAAACTGTAGCAGCAAGTCTCAAGAAACCTAAAAAAATGTAATACAAATCACATTTGAGGGCTAACATTTTACAAAGTCAATTCTTTTGTTCTTGCTGCTCTCAAAAATGTGGTTCTTCTCCCCTGCATTGTTCCATTTCACTTTGTCCATCTTCATTTCCTTGCATCTCTAATTTGATGTAGTCCTCTCTATTCCTATCAGAATTGGAAGCACATAAGGGCAAATACATTGTCAAACATTCCACATGTATCCCAAACGATTATATGTAATGATTTTCTAAAAATGACTGAGAAGATCTTTTGTTACAACAGATCAGTAGTACGAGTGGAACCCGAGCAATCATTGTTATTTCAGGTCGCAGCATCCATTTTATTTTCATTGCCAAACTTCCTGCAAGTAGTCTCCTTTCCAGGTACACTTCTACGGTGTCCTCTGGTATACTACAAGTGACTGTTTAAAGAAAATCAAATTTAAGGCTGGATAACTTTCAGCTAGGATTTTTGTAAAATCTACTTACTTGAAATGTGAACACTGATCTCAAAATGTAGTTATTCATCAGATAAGAAAGTGTAAATAATTGTAGTTAATTATAACAATACTAATAAGAGTTAGAACAATGTATACGCCAACATGTACTACTGGAAACAGATGTTATACCTAAGTATTGCAACCAAACTTGATCATGAGCCTCTTAATATAATAACAGTTCCCTCAGTGCCATTGGGACATTAGTGTATGTACACAGTTTCAAAATTATAACAATTTAAGCTTTATTTTTCAAAATGTACATACAATAAGTTAAATTACAGGAATATTTACAACAGTAATCTTAAATTCACACCTAAATGCTTGATTTATAACTCTGATATAAAAAAACTTAAATCTTTGATAAAGTTTTCATAACTTGTAGCTTTAAGTGTCAACTTACCCCCTCATCATTCATTAACTCGAGCACACCTACTTTAGTTTAATTACAATTATGAATCAGAAAGATACAGAACAAAGTATGGAAAAAATATTACATGATACATCACCCTATCATTGTCATGCAGAACAATCTGCAAATACTGGGTAATGAACACTTAGATTTTGTACTGAAAATTTTGAAGCATTGTGGGGTCAGAAGTGGTACAGCATGTTGTTGTACTGGTGCTACAGGTAATAATAATAATCCTTGCATTAAGAAATGTTCCTGTTCAAACGTTGGTTTCCTGAGGGAGCAGATCCCAGGTGTTATAATAATAATCCCTTTTGTTTGTGGGACACTGCTGTGCACCATTGGCTGCCGCATTTCACCCACAAATATACGGTCAATTCACTTTAGAGCATATTCTGTGAAGCGCTTTGAGATGTCGAGAAGACATGAAAAACACTATATCAAATGCAAGGATTATTATTATTATAATTAGTCTTGAATCCCTCAGACAAACAAAAGAACCAGGCTTCCTCCACCTCCAATTGCTACCCAATGACCCCTGCTGTACTGCAGCCTTTGGCAAATAGTCCAAGAACATTCATTGCATTGGCTTACACAAGGAATGACCACAAAAGTCCAAGCAACTAAGTTAATGTACTCCCGCAGAAGAGGACTTCAGCAGAGCAAATAAAAGGAACAAACTAAGAAAATTATTAAATATAGACTTCTGTTAACTGTCCTAGTGCGTGGTTGTGCATGAACATTGGTACCAGTTCTGTAAAATGTTCTTATAAAGTGGATTCATCCCTTGGTTTGCTATTCATAAAGCAAGTATAGTGTACAGTATTCAATGATAATCAGTTCAGACTGGGTTCGTGTTTTGCTCATCTTCCTGTACATGCCTTGGTGATGGTGGTGGTGCCTCCTCTCCTGTGTCTTGTTTATCTTTTTCAGCCTCAACCCAGCTTTGCATTGCCATTGTTTTCTTCTGGCCGTGAGGTGGACTACCGATAAGTGCTTCAATGTCATCGTAATTTAGAACTTCTCTTTCCACAAGCGCGTTGGCCAGCTGAAATGTAGACACAAAAGAGCACAGAGAATAAATAAAGCTAAACATAGTGAATCACTGAATGATACAGCACATAAACAAAAATTAAAACAACTGCTTTTGTTATGATTAAAACTAGCAAATGGGGAAGAGAAAAAGGATAAAACAAATTTCCTGTTTTCAAATAAGAAGGCTTTTTTGGACTGGGGAGAATTGCATCAAGTGTAAATTGATCATATTTTGGACACATTGCCAATCCTGATACCAATTAAAATCAATACAAAACATTAAACTATTCACTGTTGACCAGGATTCCAGTCCAGTCCAGATAGATGCTGAGCTTCTTAATGCCATTACATCAGTCAGAATGCAAGACTGGGAAGGATGCCCATTTCCACTCACCACAATGAGCTGGTTAATTCATCCGAGTGGGTCTTTTCTGGCCAGAAGTACCAGTATGATGGATCTCCTGCCGGTATCTTTTTGACAGGCACAAATGAAAATCTCTCATTAATGGGATGAGAGATTTTCAATAATTAATTTCTCCCCAAATCAGTGCAATATCCATTGAATACTGATAATCCACTTGTTTCTATTGTATATTTCGGGATAGGTGGTGGTAATTGGGAGATTGATACATCGCAATACATTCCTCCCCAGTCTCTTAAGTGAGGACAGATCTAACTTACTGTAACAAGTTTGGCTTTGTTATCCAGCAGGATCTTCTCAGTTTTCCTGTAAGCATGAGCTACCAAGACCTTGGCTTCCTATAAAATGCATAAAATTAAATCTAATCCATGGGGAGGTAGACATGTTAGTGAAGACAATTACTTGGTGTATCAGTTAGGTTGTCAATGCCAGCACTTTCTGTTTATTGCACACATGTACATTACACGTGAGGTCCGCTACAGATGGAATTATGCGCAAGAAGCACCTCTGATGCCACGTCCTTCATACAATGTCAGCAAAAGGTAGTAGATGGGATGCAATGTGGTATTACTGTGTTAGAAATACCTCTGTTAAATAGGGATGCTACCCAACCCTCAACATCCTACTGCATCCACTTTAGGATCTATGCTATAAATGGCAAAATATATTATTTGTTTAAACTTCATACAATCCTTATTATCCCATCATTCACTCCAATATGCAACCTGTCCACACAGACAAAAGTAAACTCACAAAAGTTCTTCTCATCTTAGTTTAAAAACCTACGTGATCCATCCTCTCCTGAAGACCTTGACTGAAAGGGCGTCGACCAATTGCCCCCTTCTCCTCAGTTTCAGGGAACGAAATGTGACCGATTCCTTCAACCATCCCGTACGATTTCACCATGGAATAAGCAACTTTTGTCGTCTTCCGTAAGTCGTCCTGAGCACCTGCCCGTGAAAGAATACACTACTTGGAACATTAACCAATATATCTCAGTCTTGTCTGCAGGTTGTTTGGGTTAAGTTTTGTATTTCTAATAAAAAATCATGTATAAATTACACTACTCAACAATGATACACCCCTAATTTCAGAAGAGCACCCTCTTCAAAGACAGAGAAAGGGATTTAGAGAATACGAGACAAATAGAATAAAAGCAACTCAACAAACCAGTCAATAACAACACTGATAAGAGATTAATAAGGAAAGTGACCCATAAACATTATTTTAGGCTTAGGAAATTATACCTGTTGTGACCTTATTAAAGGTGATGGCTTCTGCGACTCGACCTCCTAGAGCCATACACATCCGCTCAATAAGCTGCTCTTTGGTAAAAAGGTGCTGATCTCGTGGCAACATCTGCGAGAATCCCAAAGCAGCGTTTGTTCGTGGAGCTATGGAGATCTATAAAGCAAAAAAGATTAGATTTTCATTAAGCACTTCAGAAACTGAATGTGCCATTTACTGTTTGTGTTTCAAATATACTCATGATGTAGTTAACTGGAGAATCTATATATGATTTTAGGTTATTACACTGAAGCTTAGGAATCTGCAGGATATACAAATAAAAATGTTGAATGTATTATTCCTGAAATGTTGCATCTTAATAAATGAGTATTGTTTTACACACAATGGACTAATGAAAAGTGTCTTTGCCTGGTGCACAGCTAAAGCACACAGACCATAATTACCAAACAGAGTCGGGTTCACTGAAAAATGTGTGCTCATACACACTTAAATACAAATACACACAATTATTAACATTGATTTAGAATCAATTAATAAAGCAGACCTTCAACACGGCTTCTGTGTTTTCAAGAAGCCAGCCCACGAGGGCATGTCCTGACTCATGGAAAGCCACTATTCGCTGTTCTTCCTTGGACAGAATTTTACTTTTCTTGGCAGCACCTAGAAGTAAGACATGAATGTTAGTAATACTCACCAATTTGACTTGTAGCTTACAAAACATGATCATGCATTGCCTATGGAGAGAAATTAAAGAATACAAAACACTACACATTTCAATTGTTTTTAATATTATGTATAACACACACAAAAATATATGAAGTATACTATTTCACAAAGAATTTAGTGAATGGAAAACAGACATACCTGCTAGGATTCTCTCTACTGCATATTCAAAGCTGGAGGTATCAACAGATTTTTGACCTTCCCTTGCTGCATGTAATGCTGCTTCATTGCAAATGTTGGCAATGTCTGCACCTATTATTAAAATAATTTGATTACTTGAGTATAAATTTCTTTCTTCGAAGGTTATTGTAGTAATTGCCCATACAAAAATTAATTACCACACCTTGCTGCTATCTTAAGATTTTAGTTGCCAATTTTCAATACATGTTAAATTTCTACTGAGGTGTATATTCCAAAAAATCCAATAAGTGACTGTCAATTCTGAATATGTTGATGTTGTAAAGATATCTAAGATAGAACTTTTGATAAGAACTTTTTAACTGAAGTTCAGGTGACATCTCAAATTGGTTGGAGGCCAGCGATTTGCTCTGATTTCTACAATGAGGAATGGAATTAGCAAACACTTAGAAAACCATAAACTAATTAGGAACAATTAACATGAATGTGTGAAGGGCAAACCATGCTTGACCAATTTGGCCACACTTGAGGAAATTACAGAACATCGAGATAAAGGGAACACAGAGGAAACTATATAGATTTTTTTTAAAAGGCATTTGCAACATAATGAATGTGAGAAATAAAAGCCAAATGGCAGCATCGAAAGAGGGTGGACTGAGGAACAGAAATCAGAATACACATAAATGAACAATTCTCAAATTGACACAATTTAGATCCCATTCTCCAGAGGGCTGGAGATGGTATGGATTCATTAAGATGATATCAGGGAGATGAAAATATAGTTAAAATGATTTAACTGGAAGGTTAACTGGAGGTTTTGTGGACTTTGTTTAAACATCTCATCAGAAGATCAGCACCTCCAACAGACTAAAGTGTCAGGGCAAATTATAAGGTCAGGCCACGATGTGTTTTCAGAAGCCACAATCTTCTGACCCTAAAGGCAAGACACAATAAACTTTAAACTTGCAACAAGACTCCTAAAGACCGAAATTAAATCCTACATTTTACTTAGTAAGTGGTACAGTCTTACCACTGAATCCTGGCGCAAGCTCAGCCAGTCGTTGGGAATAAAAACTGGCTGGTCGAGTTAATTTGAGACTCTTCAAATGCTGCTCAAAGATCTCCTTCCTCTCCTAAAAATGTAAAGTTAAGGAAAAATGAAACCAGAGGCTACGCGTGTGCACTGACAATGACAGTATACGTGATCAAAATGGAGCACGGTTCTTCCTACTTTTGGAGAGCATACCTCGCACATTCTTAACAAATTAGTTTATAGGCTGATCGCTCAACAGCGATTAAATGGTTAAATGGCCACTAGAGGGCAATGCAGCACTACAATGTAGGGTAATCCTCACCGTTGTATTCAAGTCCCTACACTCCTCTGCAGACCCCATTCTCTGACCTCTCTCCTCCGTTGCCTCCGTTCCTCCGGGTCTGGCCTCCTCTCCCCTCCCCGCCCTCCGCTCCACCCTCGGCGGCCGTGCCTTCAGCCACTACGCCCCGAGGCTCTGGAACTGCTTTCCACACTCCCTTCGTCTCGCTCCCTCTCTTCCTATTTTCAGGTCTCTGCTGAAGACCTTTCTTTTCGACCGCGCCTTTGGTCACCTTCCTCCCCCTCCCCCCGGCTCGGCCCCGGGGCATCACAATCACGATATGGTTAGTTTGTTAATTCTTTCCCAATGCCAGCTTTGATATAAATGAGCATAATTAACATGATATCCATTGCGTCCGACGTACAGCAGATATCTCCCTAAGCAGCTTGTCTCTTTTTTAAAAAAGTTAAGACTTAATTTAACTAAAAATCTCTGGTACAATCTCTGCAGGAATCTTAGCTCAAACAGATCCTGGGGAGTTTCTAGACAAGTATGGACAAGTATCCATATGTTTGCATATGGTCAAAAAATGTTGGCTTCAATTTTGTCTTAATATCCTTATATATCCTTAGCCTCGACTAAAATGTGTTCTCATTAGTGATAGCATTCCAAATATTGTACAGCTTCATTCTTTCCATTACTTTTCAATAATGAACTCCGGTGTTAAATAACATCGAAAATCACAATTTTCAGTCCAGGTTCTGATATTTTAAGTTGCCATTCACAACCTATTTTAGTGCGTGGTACAGGCAAAAAGGATCCCAACACATACACAAATGTGTCCATTGTTTCGAAAGGTTAACTTAAGATCAGTCTCACTGAAGATTATAAAAATAGATAGCAAGTATGAGGAGTAGAATCTGCTAAGTGGAAAGTTCAGTGGACAATACATCCTTTGCAACTTGTAAATGCCTCTTTATATTCCTAAATGCTACTGACTTTCAGACGTGCGAGCTTCTGCTGAATTATATTTTCTTTATCAGTACTATGAATAATGACACCAAGTTTGATTTTGTTTCCTGCTCTTGGTTGAAAAATCCACAAAATTTCCAAATTTTACTTGGACTAATTGAATCCGTTCACAGTAGATAACAGATTAACTTTTGTTCAAAACAACATCATGGCATACTATCAGATATCTGTACTTTCCAGTTACTCCTGGATTCATTTCACAATTGCTAAGCAAGCTGCATTCTAAGTATAAACCTGCAATGTAAGTTTGAAATATCTTAAATTATTCCTTTCACATTGTTGTAAATGCGATAAAAAAAGCAGTGCTAAAATACCAATGTATGTTTATTCTTAGCTTTTTTGTAGTGTTGTTATTACAGGAGGAAAAATACACATGGTATTTCAGTAGCTCAGCACTGTTATTTTGGAAATCAATATGTAGCACATTGATCAGCACAGCACTACAGGTTTATTGTACCCGTTAGCAGTCTGAAGTTAACAACAAAATTACATTTGTAAAGCACCTTTCACATCGGGAGGAGGACACAAGGTGCTGAAAGTACAATTTGGGAAAAGTTATTTTCATTTTTACTTTTATCTGCAATAATTACTTTTTGCTGCTTTCCGTGATTACCTGTAATGTTGGAAAATCAATAAATATATGTCGATCCAGCCGGCCTGGTCTCATTAGGGCATTGTCCAAAATGTCTGCACGATTGGTTGATGCCAGAACTATCACATGATCAGTTGTACCCATTCCTGCTCAAAGAAAAATAAATGGTTAAAATCAAAATAAATATGCCTATGCAGAACAAAAGTGTTCATTTGCACAAAGCAATTGAGGCTACACTGATATTCCTCTAACAGTTGACGCAACGCAGAATTTTATATACTTATCAGACATTCACTTGACAGGAAAGGACAAACTATCAGCCTAAGCTTCTCGTTACAGAACTACTGACATATGGTACACACCAATCGGTGACTGCATTAGAATTTCAGAGGGAGACTTGATCTGGTCTGGTCTGAACCAGAATGACTGAAAATCTGCTAGGCTTTTCAACTCTAGTGAATAATCTCAATTTCAGTCGTACTTTCAATATTAATGAGATCCTTCACTCCTGCATTTCACATTGAGAACTGAAGCACCATTGTTCTAGAATCCTAATGTTGCTGCCATCTGGACACCAGAGGATTGTGGAACACAGTATAACCACTCAGCCCAGTCAGTCACTATTGAATTAAATTTAACCGTCTGAAAGTCAGTATTTCAGCAAAGGAGATCCAAGCTGCTTCAGCATGTGAAAGTTAACCCAACGTACAAATATTCTGCAAGTTTAAGAATACATTTCTCATACTATAAGTTTTCACTCACAAAATATACAGTCAATTCACTTTACAATGTATTCTTATCACATTGATCTCAACAATGTGGTAAGGCACTATATGAATTGCAAGGATCATTATTACTACTACTATGGATTATTACAGAATGCCAAGATGTAACACACTTAAATAATGAATTGACACTACTACAGATTGATGCTTATATACAAACTATGTACTGCAGTGAAACACCCACCATCCATTTCCACTAACAGTTGATTCAGTGTTTGCTCCTCCTCAGTGTTAGCAAATCCAGACATGTTGGCAGAACGCTTTTTGCCCACTGCATCAATTTCATCAATGTAAACAATGCAGGGGGCTCGAGCCCGGGCCTCCTTAAAGAGACTCCTCACCCTTGCAGCACCCAAGCCTAGAGTTAAGGATGAAAGTTGAAAGATTATTTAGAACAAAAGTAAAAGAGCAATAAAATAGCAAGTTGTACATAAGTAAAGTTTTTTTATATACAGTACTCTGAAAGGTTTGTCAATGCAATCGCAATAAATTGTAATGCAGCAGTGAAAAATGTGTTTAACAATGCAATCCAAAGTCTGGAGAGAGATGCCATTTATTCAAACTCCAAAGGAAACATTCATGCATGTTCTGACAAGTGAATAATTAGTCAAACTGTATCGTATTCCATTAAACATTAATTTAGCAAGGAAACAGATACTCAATATGAGGAAATTATTTTACATAAAGATGGAATGTCAGTTAACTGGTCGGGTTGGTACTTTATTTGGAGAATTATGGTTAAATTGTTATTCTAAGTAGTAATTCCTGTGTAAAAAATGAACTTCTAAATATCCCCATCCTCCCATGTTACAATTCTGCATTCTTATTAAAAGATCGACTTTTTTTGCCTGATCCCTGACCAGCTCTCTCCATCATTACAATAAATACATTTATAAAATATGGCAGTAACATTAGTAGTAGTCGGTCTCACCCCCTCCCCCCAATTGTAAATTGAGAGTGGAGCGGTTATCTTTTAAAAGCAAACACAAATTGATTGTCAGGGTAGGGGGTGGGAGGGAGGAGAGGGTAAGTAACTTCATTCAAGCTTTTACTGAGGTTTAAAGGTTATGGCAAAGGCTTTGATCATCAGTCTCCACAACTGACTGAGGGTAGATACAGCCAATGAACAAAGCATTATTGGTGTGCACTCAAGGCACTTAAGGGATCAAACTGGATCTTTCCCAAAGCTTTTCACTTCAGTTTAATAAGAGCTGGTGAATAGATTTTGGATCTCTTTGCATTTAGTGACCAGTATTGAGAACTAAACAGAGCAAGGTGCAGTCCCCAATACAAGGGATTTAAATCCTCCACTTCCCAAGGAGGGCCCTTAGAGTGACCTTAACAGCCCCTCCAAAAAAAGATTAGATGATTCCTTTAAATTTTCTATTTGCTTTTATCTTTTAACTAACCCGGTGAATTGAAATTTCTCCTGCATTAATCAGTGGAAAGTAGATTGTAGTGATTGTAGTTAGAATTCCTATTAAGTCATAGTTATTATATTACAAGAGCATTACTTTCCAGCTTTCAATTGTATTACTATGAAGGAGTAAGCTTTTAAACAATGCAAGGGATGTGATTGTAGACTGATATGTTGGTTTGTGCAGTCAACACGATCAGATTGGGTTACACAAAGGATTGCAGAATTGATGAGTGAAAACTATTTACGAATACCATGCCAGATAATTGCTCACAAAATTAAACACATAAATAGTAGGCATTCTATAACCACGGTACATTTACATATATAATATGCATATATAAAAAAACACAATTGGTCAGGATAAGAGTTATAAAAGCTGAGGGGGTGACTTAGAGGTAATGTTTATATGCAAAATTTCTGAAAGCATTTTTGGACAAATTAAGAAGTCATAAGATCAAAACATCAGTTCAGATGAAGAAAACCCTTTGGTCCATTAGATCTCCTTCCAGCATACCCACCCCACCATCCTCCCATTATAGCATCAAGTGGTTTCTTAAACCATCTGGCCTCCTAGCGTCCTGGCCTCAATAACCCTTTCTTGTAATCTGTTTGTCCATAGTTATCTTCTGGGTAAAGTAATGCATCCTGGGGTCAGTACTGAAACTGCCGGTTGCTGCTCTGAATCTCTGCTCTCTTGTTTTGCTGACCCGGCGTATCTGACAGTATTGTTTTGGTTCACCTCCTCAAGCTCAATTAACATTTTATTTACCCCTCAGGGATGCCTCTTATCAAGGCTCACTCGTGGTAATTATATCTCTGCTGTTAAAAAAACAATTTCCTTTTCTAACACTTCTTTAGCAAGAAGTCAGGCATTAAATGGACTGGACACAAAATATATTATGCACATTAATAGGCATACCTTTTCTGCTAATCTGAGAAAAAATTAATGCTAGTGGACATTATCGGGACTTTGCTTTGCCAGCAACTCCCAAGGAATTATCATCCCATAAATTTAAAGGCATATTGAATTTTATAAGAGATAAAACTACTTCTCACCACCGATCACCTCAACAAACTCCGACCCAGCCATGGCAAGGAAAGGAACCTGAGCTTCTGAAGCGACAGCTTTCGCCAGGAGAGTTTTCCCACACCCTGGTGGTCCGAGCAACAGAGACCCCCTCGGAACTTTGGCACCAAGCTGTAGGTAGCGCTCTGGACTCTGAGAAAAGAGAATAAAATTTTTGTTGCGTTCGTCAAATTACATTACTGCTTGAATTGATAGTTGTGTCTAGTCATTTATTTTGACTAATATTTCTCAACGGCTCTAAAATTTTGCCAATAAAGGAAACTGCAGTATTTACACTACTATTTATGTTTCTTTGCATAAAGCATCTTACCTTCAGGTAGTCCACAAATTCCTTCACTTCTTGTTTTGCCTCGTGCATTCCTGCTACATCCTTGAAGGTAACACCTTTCCCAGATTTCCCATCCACAATAGTGAAACGAGCGGTTTTCAGTTGGTTCTGTGTCAGTAAATCAAGGACAACCATCAGTCAAGGGGAGAAAACCTACAACCTGTATAATTACAACCTGGCAGTCAACACCCTTTCTTTTTATTCCCCATCCTACTTTGGAATCTAATTTATTGGAACTTAATTTCTGAATCGTCCAGAGGATATTTTCTGGTGTCCACTGCCAGGATATGCTGATTCCTAATATACAAAACATAAGCAATTACAATGATGTCTAAAATTATAGTATAAATTAGTCTTGAAATGAATCATCACAAAACAATGTACACTGGAGACAACCTGCCAAAAGCACTTTGTGGGGATTGTTTTACCAGGAAATCAATTTGCAACCCCTGTAAAATTGGACTTTAATATGGTTCTTTAAAAGCTTTTGGACCTGCCAACAATTGTTAACAGACTACTTTCAGCTGGTCACATAGAGAATGAAAGTGATCTCTTCTCATGCCTAGGCAAAAGCAGTTCAGAGTGTGAAACATAAAACACAAACTTTTTTTTTACAGTTTGTAAAGTATATTCTCAAACAGTTCTTAAGTGACAGCTACTCACTGCTACTGTGGGAATTTTTCTCCCTTCTCGAAGAAAAAGATCCCATCTAGTTCTTTTCAAGCACTGGTGGCTGACTACTCAAAATGTCTGAGATCTCTTTGCCTCAAGTCATTGGTTCTGTGCATACTGCAGCAGTGTTTGTGATCGTCACCTCCAGCATGCATAAAGAGCTGCTCAGTCGTTTTCCCATCAAGCTGCACTAACAAGCAGTGATTGGCAAAGAAAGGGGAAGGCAAATAAATGAAGTAAAAAGGCCCTCACTCAGGTTCCTGAATTTCAGAAATCTCCAGCAGGTTACAAGCTCTTTTTGATCGGTATGAAACAACATTCACTTTTTTTTAACAGTTTGTAAAGTATATTCTCAAACAGTTCTTAAGTGACAGCTTAACTTTCACTTACAAAAGCACTAAATCCACCTTCTCTTCCAGCCATTCCTGCCAGACGGAATATATACCACAGAATGGCCACTCCCACTGCAGCCATTCCCAGAGCATAAAGTGCACTGGAAATAAGCAAGAGTTTCAAAGATTAGCGAGTTATAATTATTTGACAAAAAAACAAACCTGAGCTTTGCAACTGTATTCGCAGAAGAGAATTGTGACAGTTCCATTCTATTTAAATTACACAAAGCATTATTTTACTTTTCAAAAAAATACATTTGAGTTTGAATGATCCGATATCAAATGGACAGATTTCTTTTACGGAAAAAGTCCTAACTTTTTTTTACTATTTGAACTGTAAAAACTTAAGTTTGTGCCTCTTTGTATTAAAATCCAGGTCCTCAAAGTGGAAATACATAATTTAAAACTATTCATTTCTATATTGCTTTGATTTGCATAACTCCAGAGCTAAACTTTATATAGCCTTTGAGAATGTAAGAAGAGAAACTCTGAATGTTGAAAAGCTGTAAAAACAGAATACATCAAAAGTGCACAGCATCTTAATGAGAAAGATTCACATTACATAACACCTTACGGCTTTCATAATTACAGAAGAAAAACATGCAACTCACTTTCCAAAGAAACCAGTACGTTTGTACGAGACCGGGATTCTGTCCTTTCCATCAATCCCAAGTTCATTCTCAACCGCCCGCAGCTTCTCTTCAAACTTATCAATATTTGCAACCTGCATTCTGTACATCAATGCTAGCCTCTACAAAAGAGAAATAGTTGAAATCTATCAATAATCTTACACAAGCCATGTGCGTTTTCAGATTCTTCCTGTGCCCTTTTTTGTTGTTTTCTTCATAGCTGTGTCCCTGCACAAACCCTCCATAATACAATTAGATAGCAGCCAAAAAAGTCATAGACTCCCCAGGGATCAGCACGTAAACAAGCACATCAAAATAGATTCACATGAGCTACCAACTGTCAAGGATTACTCTTATGTGACATTATGATAATCCTCACCAACCTTCCCTGACACTCTAGTGGGTAAAGACACGGACCAGCATAGCATGAAGCCATAAACACTAGACAGTTTTAAATCCTGGTCTGCGTAAGTAAGCACATCTGAGATTGGGGGTAACATTTGGATTGTTATAATTAAACTTGACATATTGGACTGAATGGGGGGGGTGGGGAGAGAGGAAATTCAGTCAGGACTTCTGCTCAACACCATCCAATGAATTTTGCTCAATGTGCGAGGATAAGGCAGTTACAAAACCAAAGGCAGAGCTTTCAGGAGAGGGAAAATTGACTAAATAATACCATACACAATTTCTTGTGACATATAACCAACAAATTGCGCTCAGTCCAACGCAGCTGTACTAAAGAGCCACATTGCAAACAGCCTGGGGACCGGATCACCAGCCTAACCAACAATGAGAAAAGATACACAGAACAAAGATTAATTTTCTTTGTCACCAGTGAACAAGGGTCATATGGTCAGCACTGATCATTTTAGAGATTCGAACAAGAGACTCGTGATTGTAAACACAACACTTCCCTTCTCTGCCAAGTGACACTCAGGCAACCATAGCAACGTCTCCAGCTAACTGTTCCAATACTTCACTAAACATAAAAAAGAACTTAACTGGTGCAAACTGGTGCTGCAGTTGGAAATTAAGGATTGATTTAGTAATGAAGAGGATGAACTAGGTCTGCAGAAAATCCCAATTATACTCTGACTAATTCTGAAAATACCACCATATCTACACTCTCGGTTTAACATAAATAACAAATAATAATATTTGACTCCCCAAAAGCACTATTCCCACACCAATGACCCACACAACAAAAGCAGTTGAAGGATCGATTTGCAATGGTTTTTGTCCGATTCTTAACATTCACAAGAACATCAAACAGCACTGAGACTCCATGATCCTAGAAATGTTCCTATTTTAAAAAAGATTACATTTCTGGCAGTTTGGTAGCTGAAGATGCCACATCAGTGATCTTAAGGTAAGCAACATTTAGGATGTTTTGGGTCACAATTGGTTTATTATTCCTTTATAAATTCAAACATCAAAATGTCTATATAAATGTAGTATGATTATTTCGAAACATATATTTAATCAATACTTTAAATCTGGATTCTTCTGAAAAAAACATTTTAATCCAAACTCTTACCTGTCTCCCAAATACTACTGCTCCTGGATGCAGGTAGATCTCTACAACATCACTCTCTGGTACAACCTGTACCCTGGAGACTTCGCCCTTTGCTAACATTTCCTGAACAAAGTCATTCCAAGAGATGTTGCCTCCGCTGCTGCTAATGGAGTTTAAGAGGCTCATGATGACAGCTATGATGAACAATGTTCGGAGCCGTTCCTTGTACATTTGATCTTCCTGCTCCCGCCGCCTCTTCTCTTCTGTGAAGACAAAAAAAACCACAATGTTATGACAACCCACCAGTCCAATGTGAACAAGACAGGGTGCGGGAAAAAAGGCATCCTCTCTTCAAATCTTACTAGTATTTACATAGTAGCAAAACGCTTAACTAAACACAACAGTAAACAGGACAAGAAACAGAAATAACAAGGTAAGACTTTTCAAAGAATGTAAAGAGTTAACTTTTAAAATGGACTTTGAAAAGGGGAATACAATAAGAATGGGTGGGAGCAGCAACAAATGGGAGAAATATTTTGGTCAAAATTTGGGATAAAGAGAACATATTAATAACTGGCAAATGCTCCAGACCGTCGGTGAAAGGTAAATATATACAGGGAGAGTTGTTTATATAAATAAAAGATGCTGAAGACAACTATAAAGTGCACAAGTGATAGACAACCCACCCATATCCCAGAAGCACTAAGCCATGTAGATCAGATAGTAGGGATGATTTTCAAATGCAAAGATAAACATGCAATAGTGGCACTATAAAAAGAAATATGTATACCTTCATCTTCCTCTGGGCTTTTTCCTTTGGATCCTTGATTTTGATTCTTATTTTTATCTTGCTGGGATTTTGATGTTCTAAAATGGTAAATGCCTCCTAGAAATTAAAGAAATGTAAAGCTTTTATAAAAGGCACCAATTCGTGGAATGCCGAATGAAGTTTGAAAACCTGCCGCACCTACCTAATAATTGCAATAGTTTTGTGGGGTCCTGAGAAAGCTGCTTTAAAAATGGTGTTCTTCCGATTCCCTGGAATTCAGGGCTAAAAGGGCGAGACAACAAGTTCTGTAAAAAAACAGAAAAAGCATGAAATAAAGTTGTCAAAGTGGCACAGACTCTTTCCATTGCATTTATCTATCTTTGAAGCCAACATGAACACATGGATTCAAAACTTAAATCTTTTCTGCAATAGAAGTTATTAAGCATGGAGACTCTTTAGTCTGTCTAAACATTTTGGGTCCCCCTTGTAGCTCAGTGAGTACATGTACCCTTGGTGAGTGACTAAACAATACTGGGCAAGAGAGTCCAACTCCTAATCACGATTTAGCGACACCCCTCAACCTCTCTACTGGAAGCACATATGCTGAAGCAAACATAATTCAATATAAAATCTTCTAGAGAGCTTCTTTATGCTGAGGTTGGCACAAACATGGAACTCACTGCCAGAAATTGTAATTGAAGCAAAAAGCATCAATGTATTTAAGAGAAAACTTGACGCATAAATGAGGGAGCGGGTATATGAGAGGGGAATAGGCTGGGGTAGTTGTTTGCACAGAGTAGAAACACTGGCACAGACTTGTTAATGATCAGTTTCTCTACTTCTTACTGTGCCATCAGGTGAGCTGTGTTGATTGGTTGGATATTGCTGTGCACAAATTGGCTGCCGTGCTCACCTAAAAGCACTTAAGAGATGCCCCCCTGATGTGAAAAGCACGATATCAAATGCAACGATTCTTAGTTATTCTCTGAGACAGAATGTTGTGTTTTCAAGCTACCTGCTGGGACTTTTGAGCTCATAGGCCCGGCTGACACTACAATGCAGTGTGGAGGGTGTACTGCAAGTCAGTGGTACCATCTTTCAGATGAGAAGTTAAATCAACTTGCAATTATATAGCGCCCTTCACGCGGGGTAGCGTCCTGCAGGTTGTTTGGATAGGTAAAAGTCCCATGGGCACTGACCAGAAGAAGGGAGTTTCATAGCTGTTTGTGGAACATCGCTGTTGCAAATTGGCTGCCGTGAATTAGTCACTGCACTTTATCCTAAAACCTCTTGTTAAACGCTTCGAGGTGTATTGACAAGGTGTACCGATAAGGCGCGATACCAAATGCAAGGCATTTCGATGCAGACACTGCGTGGGAACAGCACGGTGCTTGGCCTGACGCCTGCACAGTCCAATAACACTCTCAAAGTTCGGACAGAAAACCAGGTGACGTTCCGTGGGAGTACCTGTGGAACTGTCTCAATGATAATAATAATAATCCTTATATTTGACATATAATAATAATAATAATCCTTGCATTTGATATAGCGCTTTTCACGTCGGGAGGACGTCCCAAAGCGCTTCACAGAACACACTGTAAAGTGAATTGACTGTATATTTGTGGGCGAACGCGGCAGCCAATTGCGCACAACAATGTCCCACAAACAGTCGTAGATTGAAAATGACCAATTTATTATTGTTTTGGGTTTTTTTTTGGAGGGATTATTATTCTATTATTATTATTATTATTCAAGACGTCTCAAAGCGCTTCGCAGGATAGACCGTAGAGCGAATTGGCTGTGCATTAGCCCAATAGGGGGGGGGGGGGGGAAGGAGAGTCAAATAGCTTTAAGAGGAGGGAAGACGAGGCCCCGCGGGATGGGGACCAGGAACAAGAGAGAAGCTCTTTCTCACTTACCTTCAAAATAGGAACTGAGCCCTGATGGCAGTGACACCTCCTGGCGACACACTGCGGCCTTTTCGAGTCGCGGCGTCCGCCAGCGGAGGGCCGGCTCTGGGCTGCTCCCTCCGGGCGCGCCGTCAGACCGGGTGCCGGCCACTGGGACACCCGGGCCCTGAAGGCCCACAACAGAGGCCCGAGGCTCCTCGCGCTGCCCCTACGCCGCAGTGATAGCCAGGCGGCCATCTTGCCTCCCATCCTCCTCCCCTCCCCCCCCACAACAATGGCCGTTACACAAGCGACGGGTCTGCGCATGCGGGCGGGCGGGGGGGGGGGGGGAGAGGAGGGAGGTGGTGGCAGCTGCGCGTGCGCTAGGAGGGGGGGGTGGAGCCTGTCGGTTTGATTGACAGCCGTTGCTCCGCCCTCCAGCTGAGGGTGACCTGCTGCTGCTGGTTGGGAAACATGACCAGAGAGAGAGACTCTTGTCAATGATAACACTACTACTACTATTAATAATAATAATATTTGCATTTGCATTTGATGTAGCGCTTTTCACGTCGGGGGAGGACGTCCCAAAGCGCTTCACGGAACAACGCTGTAAAGTGAATTGACTGCGTATATATTTGTGGGCGAACGCGGCGGCCGATTGGGCCACAGCAGCGTCCCCGCAGACAGCCGTGGATTGAAAATGACCAATTTATTATTGTTTTGGTTTTTTGGAGGGATTGTTATTAGGCCTCTGTGTGTGGAGTAAGGAAACTTGCCCGAGGCTGCGCCCTGACCTGCCGGGGATTGAACTCGGGTCTCTCGCTGGCAAAGCGAGTGCTCTAACCACTGAGCTACAGGACTCCACAATGGATGCACCAAGCTTTAAAAAAAAAGGTTGTAGTAATATACTTCTGGGGTATGTTGCTGGACCCCAGGCTTCTATCCCCAAACAGTCAAAACAATTCTTGCTTTGTTGTTGTTGTTGTTATTATTAAATGGCAGAGAGGAATGATCAGAAAGTATGTATGTTTTTTGGGGGAAGGGGGTTGGGGGGTTTAAACCAGGGAGACTGATTGATTTTTTTTTCAGTTCCCAAGCAGACATGACAATGCCAAGGGCAGAACAGGTCTCAACTAAAATCTTATCATTTTTTTTTCGTTTTTTAATTTTTTTTTAAAAAAAGGGCCCGTCAGGTGACACAAATGGGTACAGGTTTCAGTATTTCGGTGGTGCGGCAGTAAGCCGCAGATGTCGGAAGGTCAAAGATGGCGGTAAAAATTGGGAGACGGGGATCTGAAAAATTGCACAAATCAGTATTTTATTTTCGGCGCAGCTACTCACTTTGGTGCTCATCATTTACGAGCTCAGTTCTGGGTTCCACACGCTGCTGAAAATGAGATCCCTGCGTCCAGTATCCAGTGCTGTGTGAGTACATGTGAAGATTTGGTGAGAATGGGATTCAGTTCGACTGTGATGCCCTCATTGGGCTGAGCTCCCACTTGAAGAATTACTGGAGAGCTGCTGAATCTTGTGGACAGAAAATCCAGTAACACCTTCTGTTTGGTCCCATCCCTTGGCTAGGCGGGGGCTTCTTTCCATCAAACAACTGCAAATTACTAAATTTCTTTTGAAAATTGAATTGAAACCAGATTGGTTTTCTGACTCGTTTCATTCCAATATGATTAATAGGTACAATGAGAATATATCTAATTTTAAATATATGTTTCTAATAACTGCTTGCTTTTCCTGTGGACAAAGGTTCTTTTATTAATTTTACACTTCTAGAACTTAAATGGGAAAAATATTTCACTTTCTGCTAATGCAGCGATTCTGAAGATTTATGCCTCTAAATGGGAAAATCTCACTGTAAGCATATAATGTTGAAATCACTACATTTAGCAGCATATCACTTCCAATATATCTTGGCTTGCAGGAAGTATTTAATAAGTTCCCTTAGAAATGAAATATATAAAGTGAAAATTTATGGGAAGAAGGGAAAAGTTGGAAATTGAACAAAAAATTGACATGACAGCAGAAAACAGAAAATAGCTCCAAGCAATACTTAATTCAGTGACTACTGGAATCCTAGATGGATAAACTTCAGAAACTCTGATGTCCACATTATTTACCGTTAATTCCAATGAAGAATATTGAGTAGAATGCATAATCTTTGGATAATGCTAAAATTTATGCGAATGTTATATGTCAATACATTGGGTATCATGCAAAAGGTTTTTTAAACAGTGAACAAGTACATAATCGGCTTTTTTTTTGGTGTCTGACCACGTAGAATCCATGCTTAAGAGTATCCAAACCAAACTGATAGTTCCACTCATCCCACCTATACATGGAAATTCCAGAGATGTTTATCGGAATGGAATGCACACTCTCTCCCTGGAGGGACGTATCCTAATTGCCTAATTCTGGAAAGTATTATCAATCCTGGTAGATGTGAAGTACTGTATTGCATTTGCTAAAAAAAGTCACTGTGATTGAGTTATAAGCACAATATTGTTGCAAAGTTTAGATTTGATAATTGTTACAGCCAAAACAAAATGCAGTACTTACCCAGTTCGGACAACTCTACAGATTAGGGCTTTGGTTCCCAGAACTGAAGACAAATCTGTACATTACAGACTCATTGATGAAATAGATAAGTTGATCAACCATCAGCATTGGCTTGGATCAATGCCAGGGTTAGGGAGACCTGCTTACATTGGTTTCCTCCAAGAATCTTTGGTTCCATGTCCAATGCTCGATTTGACTGAACTACCCAAGATTTTAGTTGCAGTGAAGTATATCTACATCATCCATCATTACTGCAGTCACTTTAATTCTTTAATAAATCAAGAAGTTTAATATTACATCACTTAAATGCCAACATTGCAGTGTAAAGTGGTGATAGAATGCAGGTTTGTTTCTTCATTGCCTCGACAGGCAGAATGTGATATCATGAAGTGCCTTTGTGTTGTAGAACAGACAGCAATCTATTTACAGGCTTTCCTAGGATGCCTTGTACTTCTGTTCCTTATGTAACTTAAATATACTAGTCACCTTTTTATAAGTCCCAAGGTAGAGTTCCTGACTACATATCCGGTGCTGTGAACTCATGACACTTGATGTTGAGCATTGTGGCACTGAACTCATAATCCACAGCTGAGGATCTGAACTACTCAAACAAGACTGCCATTTCCTAAAAATAACACTGACACACTCTCGTTAAGTGATCCTTAATGTAATAACCATCAACTAGTCATTTGTATTTGCAGAAATGGCTTGCCTAGTTTCAAATTAACAAAGAAAAGTGTATTGTGGATGCTGCCAGGCAACCGGAATTATGCTGTTGGCATTATCTACCATTTGAACATTCATGGAAACACAGGCCTTTCCTGTTAATGTGGTGTTGCATATTCTTAGCAGGTGCACAGATGGTACGTGGGTACAATGATGGAACTCAAAGCTTTGCAGAAGTCAGCAGTAGGAATAACGCTACTTTTGTTCTCTATTGTTCCTGCAGTGATGTGTTCTGAGTAAAGCAACAGTGACTTGAGAAATGGTCTTGGACATCGCTGACTGACTTGCGACAATTTTGTCAATGGCAATCCATTGGGTCCTAGCAGCAATGGTCAGACAAGCTGTCACCTTCTGCTACCAAAAGACCATAGTGCATGTTGACCAGATATTCCCAATCTGCCAAAATAATAATTAATGTAATAATGGAACTTTTGAGGAATGCATCTCTTTAACAAATTTCACTGGAATTGTATTACGACTACCTCCCATCCAAATGTCAGAAACCATGTTACATTCTGCAACAGAATTTACTCCCAGAATAATGAATGAAACAAAGCACAAATACTAAAAAGAAATTAGGCTCTCATGCTTTGCTGAAGTTAGCTTTTTTGCAAAGTAAATGGCATCAGGAAAGTGTTGAACAAATACTCTGTTCCCACTCAAACCCCACAAAAGCCAATAAACTCATAATATATATTAAAAATTGAAGGGAGTAGATTCTGTGTGAAAACCTCTTGCGTAATTATTCAAGGACAATTGTTTTTCAAATATTGAAATTAAGTATTCTCTGACATGTCATTTTTCTGGCCTGTGAGGCCCACCCTTTCAAGGCTCCCCATCTTTATGAAGCTTATGTCAGCTGTTACTACAATAGGGAATCCTGCAAATCAGCATCTGGGATAGTCCTGGATGCTTTTGAGAGCTGAGCTGGTAAGATTAAATATCAGCTGGATGCGCAGAATGGCCCTGGAGACTGAATTTTCCCTCCCTGTGGTACAGCACCGGGGCTTTGCTCAGCGTTTTTCTCTGACACCATGGCTGGAGTTGGGGAGATCATCAAAACGAGAAATCATTAACCAGTGTTCGATTCAACCAAGCTACCTACCATCATGATTTAGTGTTTTTTTTAAAAAAAAAAGAATATCCCATTAAAATCACTCAACTAATTGAAAACGGGGGCCAGGATGTAATTTGAAGCGTTTAAACGTACAAATCAAGAAATCTGCATTAAATGATTTATACATTTGACACTCAAATCTCTTGCCACACAGAGTCCTGGAAGCGAAGCTCAAAAGCTGGCTCACCGTTTCGATTTTAGATCGCAAAATGCAGTGTCTCCCCTGCCCTTGTTATGCGCCTTGGGACGTCCTCCTGACGCGAAAGACGCTTTATAAATGGAATCTTGTTGTTGTTGTTGTTGTTGTATGCCGTTACCTAATTCAGCTTTCCGTACAGTTTGCCCGAACACGGTTTTCGGTGAACAAAAATAATTCCGTTCGCCTTTTTACAGAAAACCCTCGGGCGCACCAACAAAAAAAAAACGTTGTTGTTTTTTTTATATAATCCACGCGAACCCGTACCGCGGGCGCTTTTTTTTTTTGGTTTTAATCGTCCCGAGGATTCGGAAGCGGCCGATGACTTGACCGGGTCCTGGAAAAAAAATAACCGCTTTTTTTAAGGAAAAGCCATGCGCTGTTTATTGATTATTTTATTACGTACACATATATATATAAAAAAAACCCACACAGATTCGGGACGAAGGGTCGCCCAGAGACGCCCCGCGCGGAGGCGAGGCCGACCCAACAACAACAATAACAACAACAACAACAATAATAATCCTTGCATTGGAGGCAGCGCCTGATCAGAGTCTTCGAGACGTCTCAAAGCGCCCTCACGGCCAATACACCGCCAAGTGAGTGGAGTGGGGGGGGACGGACTCTGACTGTGTTATTGTGCGGCTGATCCCGGGGGGAAAAAAAAAGCTCTCACCGACTGCAGCCCTGAGCTCGTACGTGACCTCTATGCGAAGGCTTATGCGCAAAAGCATTGCAGAGGCAGATGCAGCGCCGGGGGGGGGGGGGGGGTGGGGGGGGGGGAGTGTGTGTGGGTGTGGGGGGGGGGGGGGAGTGGGGGAGGGGCGACCTCGACTCCCATCACGTGACTCCAAGCACCACCCCCTCTCCGCTCCCCTCCCCCCCCCCGGGATCGTGATGTCAGAGGTCAACGTGTGCGGAAGTCAAGTTGTCGGCACAGCGTCGCCTCGCGCGTTTATTTTGCACACACACACACACCCCCACCCCCCAAAAAAAGAACCCCACACGGCTTGGCGCCCGTTGCAGCCTCGGGCGAAGTTTTCGTCTCTCTCTCTTTTTTTCCGAGTGGGGGGTTAAAAGAATGCGAATTCGTGCCTTTCGAGACGGCGTCCGGGCACACCGTTTCCGGTAGACGGTCGGACCAATCGGAACGCCCGTGACGGCCGCTGTCGGCCGGCCTGTCTCGTGACCGCGGGCGGGCCAATGGGAATCGCCGTCTCAGTTGCGACCCGCGGAAAGTCTAAAAGGCCGCTCTGGAAACGTTTTTTTTGAAAGGTTTCGAAATATTTTTCCTCCGAAAAAAAAAGAAAGACCGTTTTTTTCTCTCTCGCTCTCTCTCTCTCTCTTTCTGTGGACTGGGATTTGTCGGAGAAGAAGTTGGCGTCGACAGGGCCGCGGGATCGGGAACTCTCTGCTCTCTATTTCCCTCTCTCTCTCTCTCTCTCTCTCTCCCCCTCCGTCGGTTCCTATGGTCGGTTTTTGATCTCTTCCGAAAGCGGCTGAAGAAAAAGGAGGAGATTTCCGGCCGAGATCGGAGCGGTGCGGATCCAGAACCTTCGACCGGGCCCCGGGAGTTGGGATTGTGAATGGGAGGACGCAGCCTGGGGCTCGCGTGAAAAGGGCGGCCGGAGAAGGCGGAGGAGGAGGAGAAGAAGAAGGAGGAGGAGGAGGGGGGTGTTGGTGGTGGTGGGGGGAGAGGAGGGAACCCAGAGCCACACTGGATCGGTAAGAACATTTTCATGTTTTTTTTAAATATAATAATTATAATACGTATTTTAAAAGAAAAGCGGAAGGGACTGCGGCAAAAGCGACCGACCGACCGACCGGGAGTCGGTCGCGGACAGGCGGACAGACAGCGGGGGATAAACAAGCACCGAGAGCCGTTTGCGTTCACCGCGCGATAACAATGATCGTATTCAGGCAACGTACGTGTGTGTGTGTGTGTTTGCATTCCTGAGTTGGTGTGTTTGAACCATGCGCTGCAGGGGGTGGGGGGGGAACCCCCCCCCAACACCCCTCCCTCCCTCCCTCCCCGGGGGTGGGGGGGGGTTGGGGTGGCACACAGAGAGGGGCAGCCACCGCGAAGGGATTCGTGTGGTGTGTGAGGCTTCCTCTCCGGTCCCGTAGGTATTTTCCTTTTTTTTTAAAAAAAACTTTCAAGATCGCGGCCGCACGAAATGCACGATCGCGTTCCCACTGTCATCGCCGGTTGGTTGCCCTGTGGCGTTAACGACATTGCACTCACATCACACGCATCACACGCATCGCACACTCACTCACATACACACACACACACACACACTCAAACGCACTCACACACACACACTCAAACGCACACACACACTCAAACGCGCACACACACTCAAACGCACTCACACACACACACACTCAAACGCACTCACACACACACACACTCAAACGCACACACACACACTCAAACGCACACACACTCAAACGCACTCACACGCACACACTCACTCAAACGCACTCACACACACACACACACACAAAACGCTACCGGGTTTTTCCAGTTGGCATTGTTGTGTCGATCAGGAAACGATTCCGCTTAAGAAATGTATTTACATTAGCTCTTGGGGGGTGCGAAGCTGTTCCCCTCCCCCCTCCCCCCTCCCCCCAGCATCCGGCTGATTTGTTTTGGTAAATATTATGGTCTTGTGTTCGCCACTTTCACTTTGTTAGGCCCTGAAAGTGACAATAATAGGGGCTTCACGCCAACGTAGTGCAGCTTTCATCCCAAGAAAGTCCACCGACGAAACTGGAGTGGATGGGTGGATGGCACCACAGCCCCAGTGGGGAAAAGTGTAGCCACGTTCTCTGCTCAAGACCACTGCAATTTTGGAGGAGGGGAATGATTTAGAATGATTTTTTTTAATATTAAAAAAAAGGAAGCGGTTGTGACAGTAAATCAAAGAACCCACAGCCCAAATCGGTGGGTTACAGCTTTTATGGAATTACGTGCGAATGGCATCAGAGACCAGAGAGAGAGAGAGAGACCGTTTTGTTGGACATCCGCACACACACACACACGCGTTGAAGTAGAAGTGGTATCTTGTTGACCTGACCGTGTGGCATTTGGTTGTGTGCACAGTGATCTCGAGAATAATGCAGGCAACATATTCCCTTGGGAATAGTTCCCAAGTACAATCTGAGATACATTTATTCATTGTGTGTGGACGATTTGCTGTGCTGTTTCGACGAATGGCATAAAACAACAAGTTGTTTTCGTGTGTGTGAGCACAGCTACTTAGCTGAGGTTTACAAGTACTTCCACAGATGCTGGAAGCTGTTCGTTCCCATGACCAAATGGATAGATGTTCTTTGTGTATGAACCTGTACACAGGATGTAGTACCATAACAAGTTTGATCCCGTTTTCACCTGACTTTTCAGCAGAGATCAATTGACGGCGATTAGGAATGGGAACGATGGCTGTTTTTCTCTTCCCCTACCTACTTCCCTTCCCTCCCATCACCCTGACCCCTTCCCTCCCCTCACCCTGACCATTTCCCCCTGCTCGGGTCCCGACCCAACTGTACAGCGCTTTGGGACGTCCTCCCGACGTGAAAGGCGCTCTATAAATGGAATGTTGTTGTTGTTGTAAAGGCACTGAGGTTGATTGCAGCACCCTCACTACCCTGACTGAGATACCTCGGGATCAATGAGATCTCGAACTTGGTATTTTCCTACATGTGTGGATACAGCAAACAATATATTGTGGATTGCCCACCAAGCAATCACAAGAGCAGAAAAACATCAATACTACTTATTCAAAATTGGGGTGGCCATTGTGCCAACTATATTTTGTTGTTGGTGATTTTAATATTTGTTCATCTTAAAAGTATCGTAGCAATTTAAAGGAACTGGATGCATTTAGATATTTATTTCTCTAATGTCGCATTGTTCTGCTGTGAATGTATAGGTTGAATGTACAAATAATCAATTTCCTAATCCAGCCAGTCTTTCTCCTCCCACCTGTCTCTGGATCAGCTGGAGTGACAGATGTGATAGTGAACCTATTACATCTGTCACTATGTTGCCTGCTGCCTGGGAAATTGTATCAAATTTCAGGTGAGAGCCATTGCGCATTTGCTGTCTGCTCAACTTGCCCCGGTAGGGTGGATCTATTACTACTAATTTTCCAAAATAGAGCCTTATTTGACTGATTGGTGATGGTAGCATTGGAGCATTAGTGATTCACCCACTGCCAATGTCAAATGAAGGAACAGGCTCTGGGGAGAAGAGGAGGAACAATCACAGTTGTGATCTGTCCACATACGTGCTCTTTTCAGGATGGGTCTCTGAATAGTAATGAGGAGCATGAAAGCTGGCTGATTTCCCCCCACTCCCTGGTTGCTTTTTACCCTCTCTAATCCAGGGGTGCTGAGGACTGTCCACTCCACCCCACTCCTTTGCTCGCCACCTCCACTCGGGTAACTTGGGCATTCAGCGCATTGACAGTTGTATTGACAGTTTAAATGCAACAGAAGAAAGATTTATTTTGTTTTAAAATCATCTTGCAGCAAGTAATGCAACTCCCCAATCATTTTCCTGCACTTTTTTGGTATCCTACCTGGCAGAATATCGCTTGGTGATCGCCTTTGTGTCCTGGTAGTGACGTGGCTTAATTGTATTAAATGGTCTTGGTTAATGTTTTTTTAAATTATTTCCCATTCTGGGATTTATTTCTGTGCACTGCAAGTGATAGTGGAAATTATGAACTTGCATATGCTATTGCTCCACAATACAATTGTTGGAACATTGACACACCACTGTGTTGGACATAAATGTTTAGAAATATCCTTATTTTCCCTTCCCAATGTGGATTTCTGTGATGTTTGTTTACCTTCTGCTGACTTTGCACTCGCTATATTTACTGTTAGAATGGACAGGATTGACTTGAAAGAAGAGTACATTTGAGAGGTACAGGCCATTGTTTTACCTGCTGTTAGTTGAAAAGAAAACCTTGGCAAAGACTCTGTAGATGTATAGAAGGAAATGTTGTATCTTTTGCTCTTTTGTGTTTCCTAAAGGCAAATGACTACAGTTCCATAGATAACTGTTGACTTTGGTACAGTAGGCAGCGGTCATTATGCTCATATGAGCATGACTGAGAGGCATCACAGTTGAGGATAAGCCTGGCATCACCTGATATGTACAAGATGGATGTTCAGCAGAGCACACTGTAATGATCAGGAATGGGAGTCTTTGCCTTTCCTTCCCTGGTTTAATGCAATGCCAGGATGAATTGCAGAGTTTTACCACTGTCTTGACTGATTATTTAACACCTTATAGAGTGATTTGAGCGTGGAAACTTTTTCTGAATGTGTGCTAGATTAATCTGTTATTTTCCAGTCCTGGCCTGGTGTCAAACTATAGCTTGTGTACTATTTCTCAGGATAGTCTAGCTGGAACTTGCCATGTGGAATGGAGTGCAAGATTTCACATCCTACTACTATGTGCATATTTAACAATTTTGTTGAATTTGTTCAAATCAGGGGGAACTTGGATTAGGTATTGATGCATATTCACAATAGTTGGTATACGTAAGGAATTTATTGCTGATGTGCTACACTGATATGCCAATGTACTGAATGTTGGTCTATGCTCCTAGTTTTCAATCAGTGAAATACTAATCTTTGCTGTACTATCAGGAAGACTCTGAAGCGATGCCAGCTGCTTTCTTCACCAGGATGGAGAGAGGAATACTTAAAAGCAAGTCATCCCAGGCATTTTGGCATTTTGCCTGCAGCCAGTTACAGAGCAGCATTGGCAGAAGCTTTGCAGCATATTTTTGGTCTAAAGAAAGGCAAATGGAAGAAAATTTTAAATTAAACTGATGTACAGAATGTCTACTGGATATATATTTTCTGTATAAACTACAATTTATTGGTTTATTTTAGAAAGTAAATGTTTTTTTCAGGCAGCTTTAACTATAACAACATTTTTAAATGATAATTATCCTTGCATTTGATTTAGCCTCTTATCACGTCATTGATGTCTCATCATTTCACAGGATATGCTGTAAAGTGATATGATTGTATTTTCTGCAGGAGAAAAAAGCACTGATAATGCATCTGTGTGAAGAAAAGAAAATTCGCAGTATCTGTTCACCTGAGTGGACAGGTTTAGATAAGGGCCTCACTTTATCCAGTGAATAACATCCATTTAGTTTAGCCCAAGGTGGAATACACCGCTATTGCTACCTCCTCATTTTGGTTGAGAGAGGTGCCAAGCAATGCTGCCCTTTCCTCCAGTATTCTACTTGGTTTAGTGTTAGAAATGTTTGCAGTTGCTGCAAAGATCTCTTCGTGAGAATTCAAAATGTTGTTATATGCTGATGTTATTTTAGTGTTGATACAAAATCCAAGGAATCTCCTCTCTGCATGCTGCATGACATTTCTAAATATGGAGTTATGTATGGTTATAAGAGTACATCTGAGGCCTTGATGCTCAATAGTGCATGTAGCAGTACATGTCTGGAAGGTTTTTTGTTCAAGTGGATTTATTTTTTTACTATTTCTGCTGCTGTGTCTCCCCTTTCCCAATTCAAAGAAAATAGGTGTACTTAGCTGATAAGTGTTCCAATTGTGCAGGCATTAGTCAGGGCAGTGTTTACACCAATCCCTGAAGGAACTGTAATGGTGGAAAACAATGTCTATCTATGCAACAGATAAATGTATTGCTAAACTCTAATTGGGTAATACAATATTACCTGTTGTTGATTGTTTCTGAATTTTATTTGGAGTGACAAATTCCCTGTTATCAGTTTGTTTAAGTGAGAAGGGAAGAGTCACAGGTGTCTAGAACTTCCTGATCTCTTATCAAACTTGAAGATATAGTCAAATGGCTAAATCTTCCTTAGGGGCCTCCTGAGTAGTATTTCACTAGGGACTTGAAACACCTGGAAGGATTCGGTTGAGTACACTCTTCTCACCCGATTGAACAAATACATGAAAGAATGAGATCATTAAATTTGCTTGAGGTTGCTCATTGACTTGAATATTTCTTAGATGTTTCTTCAACAACAACAACAAATTACATTTGTAAACTCTTTTGACAGGAAATGTACTTTTCTCGAGTCTTATACTGTGGGTGGACGATGAAACCTTTTGCTTTCTAATCCAGGATATAGATGGCTTGTGTGCTTTCAGCTCCTCAAAACAATATTCTTTACCCCACACTCTTGATTATAATGACTGCTAAATCTTGAATTACCCTTAGCACAGGGGAAATTTGTTATCAAAAAGGTACTGGGATGTTCAGTCTAAGCACTACACTGTGGTGTTTGGCTGGTTACCCAATTGGGTTTTGGCGAGTATAGTTTGTTTTGATGCACATTCTGTTGTGCAAGCATGAAGTCAAGGGAATACAATGCTATCAAAATACAGGGAGGAGTGTATGGTATAGCAGACTAGATTTTTGTGATAGAAATTTGTGTGACCACATATTCAGACAAGAACTGTAGATATTCATCTTAAAATTTACATCCACCTTTTCAGCCCCCCCCCACCCCCCCCACATGGTTATTTGTAGTAAGCGACTCACTTGTCGATTGCTTAATGTGCAGATGGAAATTGCTATTGATTTGTTAGCAGTGATTTAATTGCAATATTTGTATATGATGGATGTGAAGGTTAAACCTGTGTTGTTTTTGTTGTCGGTTTTGTGTGATGTGTTTATCATACAATATTTGCCAGCCTTGCAACTTGGGCTAATTTGCATGTAGCCAAATGCTTCCATGTGTTCCATGTAGGTGATTGGCATCACCTCCTACCATTTGCAGGCCTCAAATATGGCTGTTTTCAGCTTCTTACTAAGTTTTCTTAAACAAAAGTTATCATTTTATTCTGTGTTCTTTTACGGAACAAAATAATAGAAATTCAGGTTTAGGATTTAAAATTAAGTTATCATGATCTGCAGATAATGTGTTTAATCAATAATAATCTTGTGGAGTCTTGTAGCTCAGTGGTTAGAGCACTCGCTTTGCAAGCGAGAGACCTGAGTTCAATTCCAGGCAGAGGGCGAAACCTTGGGCAAGTTTCCTTACTCCACACAGAGCCTAATAATAATCCCTCCAAAAACAATAATAAATTGGTCATTTTCAATCTATGACTGTTTGTGGGACATTGCTGTGCGCAATTGGCTGCTGCGTTCGCCCACAAATATACAGTCAATTCACTTAACAGTACATTCTGTGAAGCGCTTTGGGACGTCCTCCCGACATGAAAAGCACTAGATCAAATGCAAGGATTATTATTATTATCTTTGCATTTCATATAGCACCTTTCACGTTGAAGAGGCCATCTCATAGTAATTCACAGGGTTTACTATATTAAATGTCGTGACTGTATTTTGTAGGCAATATAAATAGAAACTAACACTGTTGGTAACACAATTTCCCTGGAGATCATTTACAAAAATACCACATAAGAAAACTTTCTGTCAGAGCAGTTCGTTAAACCAGAATTGAAAGCGTTCAGTGGTGGATGGAACCAGTCACATTTCAACTGTCGCTGGGTAGCTAAATTTACAAATTTGAGACCAATGCCTCAGTGTTTAGTTTGATGCATTTTATATCAGAATTTAAATTACTGTATTCTGTGGGGACAATATTGTGAAAACAGCTTATTTTGCAGAAAAAGTATCAATGTACAATAGTGCACAAATTAGAAAACTGTCATACTTTTTTCCTGCTATAATTTCTGATGAGATTGTAATTTGATGGCTTCATGTTGTCTGTAAAGGTGCAAATTAAACCTCTGTCCGTACAGAATACATTTGTGAAGAATGCCAAGTTAGCCATAAAGGAAAAGGAAAAACTGTTATTTGGGGGGGCGGGGGTGAGGGAAATGCTTCCAGGAGTTGCAGCGAATGTCATGGAAATCTATTCAGAATGTGTTGGCATCGGTCCTTCCAATAATACATTCACTATTCTTTAAGCTATCAGTAGCATTGCACAAACGAGTTTGAACCTCCAGTTCTTGATACATCTCTCTGACAATTTGGGATATTCTGATTAGTGTTGTGGAGTTCCTTAAATAAGATATTCGTAGACATGATAAGGTACTATGTCAAAAGAAAAGATTATTATATTGTTACTATCAGGATGCTCTTTCAGGAAGATCAAAATCAAAGTTGTTGTCGATCATCATTGCTGCAGTATATTTTTTAAAAAGTCTTGTTGTTTGGGTGTTTATTTCTTTGGGGATTTGGGAGACTACACTCCAGGGGAGGCCTAAACTGGGTCTATTTGAAGCAGAGCTGGCTCCAATGTTTTGTGCTTGGAATTGGCATGTCGGAATTGAGTCAACTCTCTTTGGTGGTCTCGGTAGCCAAGCGGGTCTGCTATATATAAATACACTGTTGAAGCAATGCAGGTACCATTGCTCATCAGCAGGTCTTGGAAGAGCAGACTGATTCTTCTTATTCAGTGTCAATTAACCCTGCAAGCCAAAACCATAAGGATTAGGGTGGTTCTAGATGAGCGACGGGGAGCTTGCCAGACTATGAGCTCTATTGTAAGCATGCATTTAGCTAGTTCAACTAACGGTACCCCAGTGCACACTCTAAGGTCCCCAAACATTAACTCTCGCCAACCTATGCCCAGAATCCTCCAGAATTGGGTAGGCCCCGTGTGTCCCTCTATTCCAGGCACAAGGACATTTCTGTGCATAGGTGGCATACATATGTGGAACTCTTGTCTGGTTTGGATATCCTTAAGCACAATGATTGGTTTCCATGTGGGACAGAGTCCCAGCTGACCAAACATAAATTGGGATTTGGGTTACTATTGAGAATGAGGGAAGGTGTTGAAATGTGAAAGGGAAATAAATCACCAGGATAAAGCTACCGACCCACTACTGTTGGTTGCTGCTATGGAATATGTTCCATTCCGTAGGAAGTTTCAGTGCTGTTCGGGTTTGTGATTAGAATTCCATAACAATACATGCTTGATACACTAACCAGATTTCTCCAATGTTATTTCAGAGAACTGACATTGAAGCTGGTATACACCTCTGTTGGAAACGATACACGCCGTGGTAGAGAACTATGGAATCAGTAAGTATCATGTAAAATATTGAGTTCTTCGAACTGTCAAGTTCTCCAGGATGTGTGAAATGGAACCTTGATGAGACGCTATGAGAATCTGTTTGATTTTAGATGTTTTAAAAGAGAGTTTGATACTGAATCTTGTCTGCTACTATTCATATTAACAGAGAATCCTTGAAAGGTTAAGATTAAAATTGAGTTAGTGCCGGTTTGTCCTGTTTTGTAAGAAAAGTAGATTTTAGTTTTTCATTTTGATGTTCTTCTGTAAGTGGCTATCTGGTGAGGTATTGATTTGAAAATGTATCGCATATTGTTTGAGCTTGGAAGCAAAAGGACGATACCATTGCTCACTAGATGTGAGTGGATACTGTGTTTATAAAGCCTTACAGCTCCGATGTTGAAGTTGTATAAATACTATCGCACAATGAATTTATACTTGTTGAACCATAATTGAGCACATTTTGTGACTCTGGGTATGAATGTACTGCTGTTAGCTTCATTTCAGTTGAATTGTAAATCGATATGCAGATTGTTAATGATTGCTTATAGTTGTACTTTGCATATGTATATTCTTATTGTGAATTTGGTAAGTGAGTAAAGAACATTTCTTTACGTTCTGTTTTAATAGACTTGTGAAACTTTTGTTGGTTCATAGTATTGCATCCTCTATCGAAGGATCTAAAGTAGGAATGGAAGCTTGCTGGGTGATCACAACAATATAAATCTGCAGTTTAATTCTTTTAGATCAGGTTGTTTTCAACATGCTTTCGTTCTTCAAAATTTCTAAAATAACGTAGCGATGTATCATTTGTCTTGCTTCCCTTTTCTATTACTGTTTTGCATTTTTTTGAATTTTGAAGGAATATTCCAGAATAAGGCGCTATAATGACCTTATTCTATTTATACTATAACCACGTGTTCAAATTGTTTTGAATGTTTGATTGAAATAAACATTTTGAAATTCATCCTGTGGCTGTCTTCCAGATCTGAGATGCTGTTTTCCTGGTGACTCCAGCTGCTAGGGAGGCTAAGGCATGATGCCTCCTCGGTGCTTAGCCGAACAGCTTGCTTGCCTGTACTGTGTATGTAGTGTGTCTCAGCCAATGGCCAGATGTGCAGACCAAGGCAGGTATCGCTTTTGCGTACCTAAAATTCATATTTGGTCAGTAATTTTTTAAGAAATACCCAACTCGTTGGCTGATTTTGTGCAGCTTGATGCAGACAATTTATCGATTGGAAAATCACTCCTCAGGATAAATTGCAATGTAGTAAATAATACCTCTGGGCTGTGAAAATCACCAGGTTATGTCCTTTGAAATTTTGGAATATTCTTTTTAATGTTGCTTAAATTGGTTGTGCTTTGTAGTTCTGGATATCAATGTTTATTTTGTGAGTTTTAAAGGTTAAGAGTAATTGGAGTAAGGTTTCATGCAACAACACCTAAATGATCGAACTATGGGCAGGGACTGAATTGAATTTTCTAGGATTTGCTACAAATGTTTGAAGCAGGATTTTCTGGTGGTTTTGATACATTAGGTTGCTGGACATAATGAGTGTGTAGGTATGAGATAAAAACAGATGATTTGTGGCTGAAATTGTTTTCAGTGTTGTGCGTTGCCTTGGTTTTTCCTGTAAGGGTGAAATGGAAAGAGGAAAGCAGAGTACAATAATATTGAATTCTCATGTTAATATCAGTGCAATTTCAGTATATAAAAATGTAACAAGGAATATTGTACAATGATAATTCTTGTTTCCATTTGTGTTTATTATACACATAATGTAGTTAGTTAACTCTGTTGAAATATACAAGTAACCAGATTCATACGTTTGGAGCATCTCTGAGAACAGATTAGTGCCAATGCTTGGGATCATTGAATATTGCTGCCAGACTGCCAATAATCTTTTTTCACCAAAAAAGTTGCAGCTGTTTTGTATGGCTAAATTTCCTCCTCCCTTCTAGTTTTTGTCCTTACCCCTGCTCTTCCTGAAGTTGATGAGTGCCATTCATGGCTATAACCTGAATTTTAGGCCTTTGGAGGAAGGGGGAATAACAAGTTTTTACGAATGAGTTTCAAGCTTTGGTTCTCTGAACAAACTAGCATTAAATATGGTTCACTTTAGTGATAGAAGCTTTGCAGTGGAAGAACATTAAATTCATTTCCTGATATAAGAGAAAATGTCATTCTTGATGATGACTTGAGTGGGTGGATTTCATCTGTGCTCTTGAAAGCCTGAGGAATGTGACTTTATGAAAACCTAAAGTCACAACACTTATATTTCAATAGTGTCCTTGGGTGTAACAAATGAGAATCATTGAATGCTTTAGCGGCCTGTGACAAGGTTAGAACTAGCATTGATTTCCTACTGAGACATGTCAGTACATTTAACAAGTAGCCGGTAATGGCAGAAATGATTTAATGAGCAATATTTGCCAGTTCACTGAGAGATGAAATTCATTTTCCCATTAAACTGTGTCATGGGTCTTTATAACCCCAAAACACCAGACTGGACCTTAGCTTTAACATCACAATGATAGATGGCATTTGAACTGCATTGTTGGATATGATGATTTTTGGATGGGATGTTGGTCCACTTGACATTTGCTGTTTGGCCTTTGCATCCACAACTTTGACTGGTGCTATCTTCCCTCTTCCCTTTTGGCACGACTTGAAATTTTGTATTGGTGACGTTCAGGTCTAGATTTTACCCTATTTCTCATCTATTTTAATATTATGCAGGTAACAGCTCTCAAGAATCATTTTGTTGTCCGAGGTGATGGCTTCTCTGAGATGAGGCAAGGCTTCAACCTGTGACTCAACGGACTCCCTGTTCTGGCTAATGAAGTTCCTCTTAACATTGGAAGGGGAGGGGTGCTGATTTGTGTTGCAGAGCTAACATTTGCCATCATGCAGAGGAAGGTGGCACAGCCTTTCAGCTTCTACTAGCAGTACATAAGCCCTGATGAGAGCTTCCAAGTTAATGGAAGACTCTTCCTTCTGGTGGAAGGATCTATTACAAGGGAGACTTAAAATCACAACATAAACAATTGGAACTGAGATCAGGGTGGTGATGTGAAATTATTTTCCCCAGAAGGTTGCAGAAACAGAATCAATAGTGATATTAGAAAGAAAGATGGTAGAGGTATTAAAAGGTATGGCGAAAGCCAGGAATTTGATGTTAAAAGATCTGCCATGATCTGATAAGCTGGTAGAACAATCTCGCTAGGTTGAAGAGCCTCCTATCTCTGTGAGACTTATGTTCCTATGATCTGTAAACCAGTGTCAGGATGTGCAATTTTTTAATTGTTTTATGTAATTTTGGACTCACACCTTATAATACATTATACTATATTCTTGCTTATCATCCTTACTTTGATCCTAATTTATTAGCTTTTTAGTGAGCTAATACTCGCCAGTAGCTATCAACAGTTTTGCATTTGTTTGTTCATTTCTGCTTTTTATTTCATTCTCTGACAACTAAATAAATATTTAACTATTAATACAAATATTAAGTAATTTTACAACTTTGTAAGTTACTTGCTTTGCTCTGGAAACAAATTTGAGGCACTGACTATTTATTATTTATAGTACCATAGTAGTTAGGCAAATTACTGCTTGCATTGCATTGGACCTTGTATTTTTTACCAGATTCTTTACTGGATATGAATCATTAATTTTGTCTGGACATTCAAACAAGAAACTTCCTTTTTATGGGTAGTGGCCCATCTGCCTAAACGATATACTGGGAGATTGCATTTTCCTTCTTAGAGTGGAATATTATGTAAATTCTGCATTTAAAACGTTTGAAGTCTCTCCAGATGGAATGCCATTCTGGAACACAGATATACGTAACCGACAATAACCTGGCAGGGTTTATTTTTACTTATCAGGGTTAAAATCTTTTTTCACTACCTGCTTTAGAATAGTAGACAAATCTGATGCCTTATATTGCATTGTCTGTAATCTGCATTTGACAGTAGACCTGGAAAGCAAAGGTAAATTGGCCACCCACCCTGTCGTCCCGTTATTCGCTAATATATTTTACTTGCTGACGTTAAGGATGCACATCAGCCACCCCTCCCCCATTTACCTTTGTCTCATAGCCATCCCTTGTTGCAGTGTTTATGCTTCAAAATTGAGGGTGAGAGACAGCTTGGCCACAGATATTTTTGTGTCATAACTTCTGCTTGCTTAGATCAGTGAGTTAAGTTGAAATTTGAATGGAGACTACCTACAGGGTGGAAATGCACAGCTGTATGGTCAATTGAGGAAGATTGTGGTCAGAGAGAAAAAGTTGTGATTTGGAAGCAGCTGCTTGTGTGTGATTTCAGTGTTACTGCCAGTGCTTTTGATTCCACCTCATAAACTAAACTGGACAGGATCCAAGCAGCACCAGCCATGGGCTATTTCAGACCTGGTTCTGTTTGAAACAGTATTAAACTGTCCTGCAGTATAAATGGACAAAATTGTGTGATGTTGTGCTCATTTAATTAAATTCAGGATTTTCTTATGTACTAGGAGTGCAACCAAATTCTGAGTTTCTAAAGTCATTGTTTGGTGGTACCACAAAGCTGAAAATTTAGCTTACGGCTTCAAGTGTGTCTGCTTTTGTTTACCTGTCCTACTTCCTAGTGTCTTGCCTTGTAATTGCACCAAAATACAATGTGAGGCTTAAAGCTACTAATTGACATTGCAAACTGAACTTTGAGTTGTCAGTTCCAGGAGATGAAGATATCAATATCACCAGATTGATTATAGAGGTAAAAATGGAGTTTACAAAAAAACAGTGGTGTGCAAGGGAACGTATCAATAGTGATTAATTCGCTCACAGGAAATCTTTGCAGTAAACTGGCGTTACATCATGGCCAACTTGCTGGATTCCCATTCCGAAGTGGTGTTAGAATCAAATCTAAACTTTGTTATTTCCAAGTTGTGCTATTTTTAATGTATATTTTTCAAGAATCAAAGACCTTTCTTAATGCCTGCTGATGTTGTTTAAAAAAACTATGA